ATTGTGTTTATACCTGAAAATACCTGAGTGCATCCCAGCAGCCTGCCGTTATATGACTGTGCAGTAAACCCTGAACTGTTTTCTCTTGTTTACCTCTGCGCCATGTCACTATCTCCACTTATAGGACACACACACACACACACACACACACAGACATGCATGCACAAACACACACACACACACACACACACAGACATGCATGCACATCTTTATCTCATAAGGCTATAAAAGGACTTTGGATCTGAATGATCTGTCTTGCAAGTGTGTTGTGAGTTTTAATGGATCTGGCTGATCGGCATGTGAACTCTGCAACATTGTTTTCTCCCCAAACAGACTGAAGGTTCGCAGTAAAATAATGTTAGTGTTTATGTGTGTGAGAAAGTCATGATCCCTCTTAAATTTGATCGCGTACTTGAGGAGAATGCGGCATTTCACTTGAATAAATACAGATAAAAAGAAAATTGTTAATCAGTAAACCAAAGTTTGAAGTGCTGTTGAAGTCATAATAATACGCCTCTTCCCATCTTCCTGTGTGTCTCATCTGTGTGCATGTCCTGTACCTCATTTCCATGCTGATCAACTATGGAGATGTAGTTGGGTTGGGATTTGTTGGGATAGGACAACAGGACGTCGTAAGGCACCATCTCCACTGAGTCCAGGCCGAACCCCTGCCACTCGCCCATGATCTGCTCTGCATACTTCAGGTTCTGCTCTGTACCAGCCAGGTGGGGGAGTCGAGTAAATGTCCTGTGAAGAGGAAGCCAACCAACACACATAAGATAAGATAAGATAAGATCGACTTTATTCATCCCACACTGGGGAAATTTCAACATTACAGCAGCAGAAGGGCATTAGGATAGAGACAAGTAAAAAAGATAAAACATAAGAATAAAAATATACATATGTATATATAAAGACAATATTCCTGCTGCTGCCTGCAGACCATTCTGCAGTTAAGTTAAGTTAAGTTAAGTTGAGTTGGGTTAAGTTTATTCTTGCAGTTAAGTCTTAAGTAAAGTTAGGTTAGGTTAGGTTAGGTTAGGTTAGGCTAAGTAAAGTAAAGTAAAGTAAAGTAAAGTAAGGTTAGGTTAGGTAAGGTAAGGTAAGGTTAGGTTAGGTTAGGCTAAGTAAAGTAAAGTAAAGTAAAGTAAAGTAAAGTTACATGATGATACATTACATTATATTAACATTTACAATGTTCGGCTTGTGGCTAGTCTTGTTTAGCATGTTAGCTTAGCATGATAACATACTAATTTGCAATACACATTACACCAATTCTAATATTCTTCTTTTATCACGTTCCTCTCTGTCAGACAGGAGCTGACAGACTTTCTCAGTAAAGTTCTGTGGGTCTGAACATTATTTGGATGTGTAGCATAGTTTTGGTAGAAACTCACACACAGTGTGGTTTAAGGTTAATCAGGGTTAGTGTTGATGTTGTTAAAGACACTTTGCCAAGAAGCAGCAGTGGGAATAAAACATTTTGACTTTGGGTGGAGTTTTCATATGAAAAATTTGGGGATTAACTCAGACATCTATTGTTGGGTTGCTATGGATTTTTGCACCAAATCTCATGGCAACCATGATGGATAGTCATAAAATATTAGTCCAGGAATAAAGGTGAAGGGTATTAAGAAAGAACTTCTTTCCTTTATGTGGATAAAATAAACTCTCCCCATGAAATTTATAGTTTTTCTTCCCTGCTGGAATCTCTCTGAAAGAATATTTGCTTTGGACTACGTGCACTAATACACAGGGCATGTGCAGTGTGTTAGAAGTGGTCTCTACCTGAGGTGCTCTCTGATCTGGTCTGGCTGCATTTCATCCAGAAACTCCCTCAGATACTTGCTGGAAGCATTGTCGTTCACATTGTGTGGATGTTTGGGCTTTGCAAACCAGCCTATGACAAACACGAAAAAACACCACAGGTCACACGAGACAGCAGTCCGCCTCTGAGCAAGTGTTAACCTGCTTTAAGCACTAAGACGTGAAAAGTGGCATAGTGGCGACAAACTTAAGCTCACACACACAAGAGAAACACACATTCAAGTTGCAATTTAAACTGCACTGAATACATTGGATATCTCATGAGATTCCCTAACTTTTATTTTTTAATTATTTCTCTTATCTTACCTATGATGAAGCCCAGGAAGAACAAAACCGTCACTGCCACGATCCACCAGATCCACTGAATCAACCTGTTCTCCTTTCTCATTGTGAAGCAGCACAGAGGCTTGCACACACACCCCCACACACGACCGACTCGCAGAGATAGTGATAGAGAGCAATCTGTTTAAGTAGTGCAGAGCGTGGGAAGAGCGAGGGAAAGTGAGAGAGAGAAAGAGAGGGAGGGAGGGAGAAGGGTGGTTGACACTTTGTATCTGGCAGAGGATGAGGCAGAGAAATACACAGAAGAGGCAGCCAGTCGTCACCAGCCAGTGATCAGCCGCTGGAATGATGACTGTGTTGTGCTACTTGGCTGCTTCAGTGCTGACTCAGTACAACTGAGGCTGAGACTACATGGCCAACAATGCACTCTGATAACAGCCCTTCTTCCAAAAAGCATGTTGACTCAGGAGTTAGAGTGCAGAGCAGAAAGACCTGCCCAGCTCCTGTGGAGAAGAAGAGTGTGTCTTGAGTTACAATAATAATATTACTTTATTTCTTATATAGCATCTTTAAAACAGGGTGTACGAAGTGCTTTAACAGACAACACAGACACTCAGGGACAATTACAAGAAGTCATACACAGTAATACAAACTAATAAAAGTAACAAGATGACAGCACCATGCAATAAGAAGGAAAAGACAACATTACATAAAAGCAAATTCATGCAAATAAAAAGAAGAAAAACATTTAAAAAATCAAACAATATAAAAAGTTAAACAAGCTGTGACCGAAATTATATATGATCCCATTTATTGACAAAATAAAGACAGAAACTTTGGAGCAACATGTTAGACAGCGCTCATCATAACCATCTCAAAAGGATATAGTTTGGAGGAATAATGTTCATATGTAACCATGGTAACAAGGTGTGGCTGATACACATCTTACAGCTCACGATCATGATTCTTCGCCCCATTTTGATTGGATCATATCACTACACCAGATTAATTATAACTACTTCAAATGAAAGAGAACGTCTTTGAGAAAAATCCATTTGAAGTTTCCTTTGACTTTTAACTTTGGTCTAACATGGTGGAGTCAGGGTTAGTGACCTATACTGCCAGCCACCAGGGGGCGATCAAGATGGTTTGGCTTCACTTTCGGGGAGCTGTGATGTCATCCCTGATTATATGCAGTCTGTTTAATCCCTTAATGTATGACCCATTTTTGTAAAATTTCCTCAAAAGTCTATGGAAGTTAGCCTGTCACTAGAATATAGCATTTAAATATAGCATATAACATTTAGTTCAGAATTATGCTTCAAAGTCCTGATTCTTTTTTTTCTTCTTCTCCTGCAGAACAGTGCTTCCACACTTTTCTGTTTCTCTGATTCATCTCTGCTTGTTTACTGCAGCTTCAGTCTTCAAAAAGTTGTTGAGCCAGTCAGTCACGTAACTCTGTAATGAAAACTGACACTACAGAGTGTTTCAGTAGTAAATATCACAGTGGACGGCCTGTTTGTATCCACGAGTCAGTTCATTTAGGCTTTGTTCACGTTCATGAATCCATGTGGACACATTTTCCCACACTATAAGACATGGCGGCCTCTGTCATGCCCGACCCCTCCTGCTTTTTGTGAACAGCTGTGTGTGGTGGACGCTGCAGCTCTTTCACGCAGTGGGCTGGAGCGTGAAGCAGGGAGGAGACTCTGTGCTCTCAGGAATGTGGGGAGGACACAGCTCTGCCCCGTCCTCAACACGCTTTATCTGCAAGACTTTAATTAAAGCAGCAGTCTGTGGCTCGTTTGAGGAGGTCAGGTCAGATTTAATTAGAAACATGTTGTTTTGGTTACCAGGTAACCTCCTAAAGTTAGTGCTGAGACCACCAACAATCATCTGGTGCCTGGTGAACCGGTCTATAGGCAAATGTTTCCAGTGAAGTAACACATGCTGCCCCCTAATGTAAAAACCCAAAGCTTTGGTTCTGCAGAGACTAAAAGCCTCATATCCTGGCTTTGTTTCCACCAAATGATAAAGTGTGTATCAATACACATTTCAGAGAAGATTTTCCACAACATTTAGGAACCTCACTCCGGGGATTTGCTTTTATTTAGTCTCAAGAGTATTCAACACAGATGTGAAGTGATGGGAACATTCTCTGTGGTTTTTGTGGACACGGGGTCTCTTGTCCCCATTGCAACTGCTGTCACAAAGTTAAAACACATTGAAATAAGTGAAACAAAAGGTCAGATAGTGAATGAACATTCAAAGCTTGAATCCTTTGTTGATAAAGACAACATTAAACTTAAGTTGAATTTTAAAACGCACTCACTATAACTCAGTGCTGTGACCTTCAGCTTTCCCCCAAACCAAGACCAACTAGACTGACACTCAAGAGCACAAGGCCCAACAGTCCACTTACATTCAAGCCACACCATGTTGCACAAAAAAAGGAAAAACAAGTACTTTTAATTTGTGACACAAAAACAAAAGTTGAAGTTTTTTCAAATTAAAATGATCAATTGCGCTAATATCATTTGTGTGTGTAATTTTTTCAAGGTTGGTAAATCATGTTCTTCATTCAGTGTATGCCTGATGTTGTTCATAAAGATCTCTGCAACATTTTTTTTAGATATTCACAAGAAAGTAAAAAAACCACCCATTACCTGCAATACTAAATAAAGGGCAGCACTGTTGTGTTGTTAAAATAATATCTACAGTTCCAAAGGTTTTCTGATCTGCTCTGGTGAACAGGAGTGTTGGTGTAGAGTTTAGTGATGTTTGATTCTAGATCAGTTGTGTGTTGGGCCATTCAGTTTGGTGACACATAAAGTTGGCCCAAACTTTCTTTTCTCAGGCCGCTTCAGTGGTACAGGTTAGTCTGTGGCGCCCTCTAGCGGCAGGGAGGAGCGGTGTGTCTCGCTCCCTGCCTGTCTCGGGTCTGCAGCGGGGAAGTGTTCTGGATGTGAGGGGCGGTGCTGGACTCTCACACCCGCAGGCCTGTGGATGTGGAGCGGGCCGAGGTGAGAGGAGGAGGAGGCGGAGACGGACAGAGATGATGCCGCCCAGACGCGTCTGATTTTGGGGGGATGAAAAGTCAAAGTGAGCTCAGCTCGGACCGGAGCGGAGGAACAGGGAGAGCGGGCGGGAGGACGCAGACACCGGCCGGTGTGAGGACAGACACACGGACACAGACGGAGCTGAGGGAGGACGGCTCCTCGTCTCTCTGACACACCGAGGCTCGGGTGAGAAGTCGGGGCAGCTGCCTGACCCGGAGCCGGGGGGCAACATGGTTGTGTCGCTGCGGAGCTGGGTCGCCAACGAGGGAGGAAAACATTTGATCCTGGTGAGAATAAAGTTTGACCAAAGTTTTTCAAACTGCTCTCAAACATTTTACTGTTCATGTATTCATCTGATGTACCAGATGATAAGTTTAAATACTTTTTCTGAAGAGAACTTTTGTTCTCAGGAAAAATCACAAAATGATTTCATGGATCAGTGATCCTGATCAATAGTGAGTTTAATGTTGATTCATTAATATTGTGTATAAATGCAAACTACTGCAAACTGTACATTATAGAATAATGATCAAATGCAGTGGTAGTGAACTACATGCTGTACATGCTGTGCTGCTTATTGATCTCTCTCTCTCTTTCTCTCTCTCTCTCTCTCTCTCTGTGTGTGTGTGTGTGTGTGTGTGTGTGTGTGTGTGTATGTGTGTAGATGCTGTGGTTGGCAGCAAACACCTGGCTCTTCCTCAGGACCTTCCTGCTCTATTCCACTGGACATCAGTATCACTACCTGTACGAGATGCTCGGGGTGAGACCTGACACACAAACACACAGCCCTAAATACTTTTATCATTCACCTCATATGTGTTAATACTTCCAATCACTGTTGCATCCTGATAAAAGTGAAACACGAACACAATGGCTTCCTTTAAGTGAAAGGTTGAAAAATTGAGGCCTTTTTGTAACATCTGTTGTTTGTTACCTGAACTCCCACACATCACATCATGTAAAGCTTTTACACAGCCATGACACCGAAAGTCTCCCTGTCTTCAAACCTGAATGAATTAGTAGGAAAATTAGTGAAAAATAGCAGTTCAGAAATTTGGATATCAATGTAAAAATGTACAGGTAGCGTGATTACCATTTGTAGCACAGAAACAAACTAGTTTTCCAGTGTTGGCATCCTCATATATCTTGTAGTGTGAATCCAAATGCTTTTTAGTGGCTGTGCAGACAAACAACAATGCAACTGGAGGTTTCCGTCAGCACGGTTTCAAAATGTTGAAAAAACTAGCTGCTGTTTTCAACAGCTTCAAAGATTTCCATGAATATCTCGGAAACAAGATGTGAGCTGCATGCTCATCTGTCAAACACAACTTTAATGAGTCTGAGTTATGACTGTAAACTCTGTGACAGCAATTAGGTGTGTGTGTGTGTGTGTGTGTGTGTGCGTGCGCTCTGACTATTGGATCAGCTAATAGTGACATGAGCCTGGGCACACACACATACACACACACACACACACACTCACACACTCACACACTGGGTCAGGAATTTGATTCTTGCTAACCCACATAAGTGTTGGTGTAATTATTGTCACAAGTTCATGTTGTTGTGTGTTTGTTGCAGAGAAAGTCTTCCTTGTCCTCCTACACAACAAACAGGAAATATACTGACAACACCATCCGATCAGACAGTTTTGCTTTCTTCTGCTTTGCACCAGCTGGTTCCTCTGTCATGTTAAAGATCTCAGTTTGCATCATGTTGCTCTCTGTAAGCAAGATTACGCCAAAACTACAGAGTCACTTCCCATGGAATTTTGTGGAAGAGCGGTGCCCTGACCTCAAGAAGAATCCATGACATTTTTAATCAGATCCAGATAAACTGGTGGATCCATGATGTTTTTCAATATCATTAACATTGTGTTAACCTTGATGGAAGTGTGCTCTGAACACCCTTCTATACCTCTGCTGAGGAATTTATGTGTTCATCTGTTTTTGTTTGTTTCTTTGTTTTTCTATTAGTTAGCAGGATTATGCAAAAAGGACTGGACAGATTACCATGAGCCTTGGTGGAAGCTTGTGGTATAGGTCAGGGAAGAAGCTGTTAAATGTTGGTGTGGATCCAGATCCAGGAATTTTTGTTCACTTTCTCCGATATTGTGAGAGAATCAGTTTTACAACATTTTTGTTTATATCTCTGAGAATTCATGAATCTTGGTTAAAATAATCTCAGACATGATTAAAACCATGATATCAGTGTGGGAACTGTGCGGTAGCTTGATTTTCAGTATGCGCTCTACTGCCTACTGTTTTTTAATGTGTTAGCCATTTAAATTCTTCTCTGTAACCTGAGATCACTGTGATCTGCTTCATTATTAGATACTTGCCTTGGGCCTAAATCTAGCACAATGATGTCCTCAGTCTTTTTAATATTGTGTTGTGGATGTGGTGATTCTCTAATAAGTATCTTCTTAAAACAACCTGCGAGCATTAGAAGCAGGTGTAGGAGACAATGTGGAGTATGTTGCAGTACTTGGTAAACAGCTTTAAACGATGAGCTGACACTATGAGAATCAAACAGAGGAAACAATTTGTGCAGCGATGAATTAGAGGCAAAATTTAGATGAGGCTGCAAACGCCATGTGTGAGCTATTCATGCACTGCCTGTACAGTGGGAGGCACGGGGGAGAGAGGGGCAAGTGTGGGCACGCCGCTGGCTTTGACTGAATGCCTTGCCAGAGGGCTTAAGTTTATGTGTGTGTGTGTTAGAGAGCGAGAGAGTGTGAATGTGTGTGCACACATGTAAGACAGAGATGTATTTCAAAGCTTTAATTCTACCGAAGGGGATTTAGATTTAACTTCAAAAAGCATCTTGTCTTGTTCACCTGTATGTTTCAGTGTGTGTGTGTGTATGTGTGTGTGTGTGTGTGTGTGTGTGTGTGTCTGCGATGTGTGAGTGTGTCTGCGATGTGTGAGTGTGTCTGCGATGTGTGTGTGTGTGTCTGCGATGTGTTGGGGATGTACAGAAAGCAGGATATCAGATCTCTTGCCTGTGGCTTTTGCCGTCAGCTGCTTTTCTTTGTGAAGCTGTGAAGAGTGAACGTGTATGTGGGAAGTTTTAAAAGGCTAAATGTATCAGACGCTTTAAGTGCACTGGTGTTAACCTGGACTCACTATATGTAGATTCTAACTTTGACCTGCGTGCTGCATGAAGTTAGACGTTTGTTTCTGTGTTGACATGGAGCTGGTGCTTCTGCATGTTTTAAAACAGCCCACTTCTAAAAAATGTTTTTGGGGACGTATCATATGAGTCTAGATTTCAGTTTTTTATTTCTTCAGGGGGAGAGCAATATTCCATTCCTTTGTCTCTCGCATGGTGAAACTTGGTGCTGCTTCATTGTACACTTTAGTTTAAGGTCTCCTTTTGGTTACTGGAGTTTTCCGTCTTCAGGCTTTGACATCTCTCTCAAAGTGAATGTGCACACAGCTGTATGTTTGGGATCACATCCGTGGCTCTCTGGGGGTAACTGGATAGGAGGGATTTACTGGAGCTGCCTGAAGACTTGAGTTGAGATTAGTTAGTTGGATATTAGTTAGCCTAAATTTGACAAGTTGTAGCTGTGCGTATAATTGATATTTTTTTAGCTAACTTCTTGGATTGTGGTGCATCGCTTTGAGCTTACCACCACTTGAACCCATTGATTTTGGGTGGAATATCCCTTAAAAGGTCAGAATACAGCTTCACACATGAGCTGTCTGTCTCGCCCTGTTCCTCTGAGCTATACACCTTCATCTCCAGTGTGTTTCACTTCCTGAGACGTAATCGGAAGCGACGGCACTGGCAGTGCACACAAAGGCTGCCAAGAAAGTGTTTAAATGTGCAGAGTTTAGCAGATGCCAAAGTACATCGAGCGTTAAAAAAAAAAAAAGAAGCTTTTATTTTACCTGTCGCTTTAGATTTCTAAAGCCAGATCACATGGCTGACATCCGGTCCATGTGACTTCAAATACACTGCCCACTTTACAAAACAACAATTTGTATAATTTAGATTTTTACACAAAGTGAAAACATCACTAGGATTGTTTTATATCCAATTTCTGCCAATAGATCTCTTTCACTTAAATCTTACACACTGAACCTTTATACTGTGCACATTACTATCAGAGAGTTGAATTTACAGGAGTTGTTCATTGTTTATCAGTGCCCTAACAATATATGGGTTTGCTGAGTAATATTGGTCGACATCAGTCTTTTATATTGGTATCTACTTTTGTTTGCCAATGCAGATATTAAATTTACAATTTTTTGTGCATTAATGTTGATGTAAAAATATACATTTTCCTCATTCACATTTAATGTATTTAGTTGTATTTATGTTAAGTGTTTGGTTTGACTATAAATATCAATCCTCAATAACATTTCTTTGAGGGTTAGTTTATGGCAATTTCCTTCATATATATATATATATATATTTTTTTTTTACTGGCCAATATCAGTATTGGCAATGGCCCCAACAAGCCATGTTTGTCAGACTTCCTTTTGTTTGTAATGAACTGTTCATTAATGTATTGATTTGTATTCAAAGGCAAAGTCCCAGTGGAGAGCTGCCTAAAAGAAACTGGTTCTTGGCCCTCCACACTGAACAAAGATTTAGTTTTAAATGTCTCTGCAGCAGGAAGTCATGCCTCAAGGCCTCAGTGCTCACACTGAATAGTCTTAATCTGAATAGGAACAGCTCAAAAGTGTCTTAATCTGCCAGACCCTTCTCACTTTACATCTGCTGAATCAGGTCCCATTGCAACAACCTGCCTCACAATGTGTGTGTCTATATCTGTGTGTGTCTCCCAGCTCGGTCTGTGCATCAGCAGGGCGTCTGCGTCGGTGCTGAACCTGAACTGCAGCTTGGTGCTCTTGCCCATGTGTCGCTCACTGCTCACCTTTGTTCGAGGAACACACACTGTAAGTAAAGAAAAGAACGGAGTGAAGGATACGTGGAAAATGAGTTGTGTGTCTTGGTTTCCATGAATGCATGACTTAACTTTGTTACACACACATGCTCGTGCAGGTATCGAGCAGAAAGACGCGCAGACTGCTGGACAAGAGCAAGACCTTTCATGTGGCCTGTGGAGTCACCATCTGCATCTTCTCTGGTAAAGCTGACACAGCAGCTCACATATTTATGTATCAGTGTTTAAAGTGTGTGTGTGTGTTTTAACTGTGGATAAATGAACCGGCTGTGATGCCCCTCCAGCTGGTCTCGTGTGCTTTTGCTGTCCAGCTGTGTGTGTGTGTGTGTGTGTGTGTGTGTGTTTCCCAAGATGATCTGCTCATGACATCATGGGAGCTCCTCGCAGCTGCGTGTCTGCTGTGTCTCCGGTTTACAGGCTTCTTCCTTTTACTCATCAAGTCTGTGAGCAGGTTTTTGTTTTTGTTTCTTTTCGGGGTTGCCTGGCTCATATCATTGTTTTTACAGTAACACAAGGCTCAGGAAAAAAGATGAAGGCAAGTGAAATCAGCACTACTATGTACAACACTATTCTCTCTACTTCTCCTCTGCAGTGATCTGCCCCAAGTATTGTATCGTATCGTAGAGGTCCTCAAACTGTTAAGGAGCAATGCTGTTATAGTAGCTGATGGGATCCGGGATGCAAAAAATATGTTTTCAGGGTACCCAAGGTGCTTTACAGAGAGAAAACAAAAGAAACCAACACAAGATAATAATACTGATGGTTGGCTGAATACTGATGATTGGCTGAGGCTAGAGTCCATAAGCTGTGGTGAACAGGTGGGTTTTCATGAGTTTCCTCTGGGTGTCCAGAGATGGGGCATTGCGGATGTGAGATGGGAGAGAGTTCCAGAGGGTGGGGGCCGCCACACTGAACGCTCTGTCACCAAAAGTTCGCAGGCTGTTGCAAAAGAGGGTTCTCCCCTTCATAACACAGTTCTTGCACGCTCAAAAGTTTTGATTTTAGACAGAGACATCTGATGTAGAGTAAAGCAGTGCTGCAGCATGTGCAGAGGACTCGCATGATTGATTTCACAGGTGCACTACAATGATTTGGTGTTGCATTTCCATACAACATTATAAAAGAATGGTCAAGATTTGTGTAGCAGTTGTCCTGACTTTAGTGTGGATCAAGCTTAAAAAACACGAGTGATAGGAACAGGTATTTTGTTACATGGTGTCTTAAACTTCATGCGCTTTGTTTGCAACACAAGCTCTATGTTATGAACTTATACCACGCTCCTCCAGAGGATATCCACTCGATAGTTGTTGAGATATTTTAGTCTGAATGGACCGACTGACACTGCCACACAGCTGATAGAACGAAAGAAAAGCAAAGACTGCAAGACATGACATCTGTTCTTCACTATTATATCATATGTCAAGCTTAATCCATCTTTCGTCAGTAGCTTCTCACACACACACACACACACACACACACACACACTCACACAGTCTGACCTTAACCATAGAAGCTACGTGTGTAAACCCTATTGTTAAAACATGTCTTCAAATGTAAAGATTTATGTTGTGAGAATGATGTTCCCATAGGGAAGACAGGTCCCAGTAATGCCACTGCAGATGTAGGTCCCCACAACGCCAGTAGTACTTATCGCACACACACACACAGTCTTTACACATACATGTCTCTTTGTCATAATCTAATAGCGGAACGCTGAAATTCTGAGACAACTAACGACAATGACAACAGGGAGTTAGTGGGGAAGGAAGTGAGACCCAGGTTCAGAGAAGACAGAGAAAGAGAGGGAGGGGGAAGAGAGGGGTGGGAAGCAGTGGGAGTGAGAAAGGATGTGAGGGAGAGAAAAGGACCCTTGTGTCTCATGATTACAGCCCCTAATTCCATCAGCTGTCCAAGGGCTGCGTGGTTAGCCTGTGATGTCAGGGACGTGTGTGTGAGTGTGTGTGTGCGTGCATGTGTCAGTGAGTCAGGAGGGTGTTTTGCTGACTTTCTGCTGAATGGACAAAGAAATGTCTGTATGAGTGTTCGCTGAGTTTATTTTGACCTAAACAATCTGGTGCGTGTCTGTTTGAAGTGGTGTGTTACCTGCTGGTGTCTCCGCAATTAAGCGTGTGTTTTAAGTCACCCTTTCTTTTTGTGTGCAATCCGCCTCTCGTCCCTTCTGCAGTTGTGCACGTGTCTGCCCACTTGGTGAACGTCATGAACTTCAGTGTGAGGTACTCGGACGACTTTCCTGCTCTCAATTTGGCTCGCCACAGAGGAGAGGTGAGACACATAGCCACGTGGTGTTTGTACGCTACAAGATCTAACTCAAGTCGTTTGAACACGTGAGGAAAAACGTACACAAAGTTCAAAAAATCTCCTTACTCTTGAGCGAGGGTAGTCTACCATAAATGTCCTCAGACTACAGTCAATTGATACCCTCTCTAGTAGAGGGGGGAACTTAGTGAAGAATGTCACCTGTCATGTGCTGGATTGAAGCCTGCAGACTGATTACTCTCCCCGGTACACAGTTGGCACAGTTGGTTACTTAGACGTGGAAGATGCACTAACCACTCTCCCTTTTATTCCTTTTCCTCTCCAGGATCCAAAGCTGATCATCTTGACCACAAGTAAAAAAGACGACTCACTCTTATACAGCATTGCATATAAATTTACACTGTATATCCCTTTCTTTCTCTCTCTTTGTATATCTTCTCTTTATTTGCTGTTTTCCCAGTTAGGATAAATCCTTGTAGAAATTAAAACAGCCTCATTCAGTATATCGTGTAACCTGGATGGATAAATCCCCCATTGCAGATTGATACATGTATGTTTCCTGGGACATTAATTCACTGCTCTCTTATTGGCTTATTCTCTTTAAGTCCCAGGAGTCACCGGTGTCCTGTTGGTTCTCATCCTCTTCCTGATGTTCATGTCCTCCTCCTCCTGCGTACGGTAGGTCAACTAAACCACCGTCCTCCATCTTAATCACCAAAGTTTAATGGGTTTGCTTTGTGTTGTGTCACAGATGTGTTATGTGGATACATTTTGGCGATAGCTGCAAGCAGCAGTGTTTTACACATGTCCATTAGTGCCCTCTTGTCAAATGTCCGAGTGAGCCCGTGTGAGAATACAGAAAGAAAATTCACAGCTAGTGAGTGGGAGTGTCAGTGAGATTTCTAACAAAAGACCAACGCAATCCTGAAAAAAACGGGAAGACTATGAATATCTCAGGATGAAAAAGAAGTGATACACATGGAAGAAGTTGTCAAATTGGAGACACGATGAGATCCGAGCTTTCGACATTAAGGGCTGGCGCCGGTGTCAAAGTGCTGTAAACAAAAATAAGTGATTCCCAATTATTTAAATTTATACGTCATGTCCTGCCTCCTGCAAGTTCTACCCCTCGCCTGAATTTTCCGGAAACTTTCCTGTTGTGAACACGTCTGACCAAGACAATCTCTTTCTTCATTTTTCATGTGTGGAAGGCAAACTTGGCAACACGTGTCCCGATCCAATTTTTTGTTCATGCCTGAAAACACTGCAGACAGTTCAGTTCTTGAAACACAGAGACAGTTATTAATTCTCTAAATACAGCCAGAGCTCTTGCGCTTGAATAGACGTGTCTCTGCATTTGTCTCTGTCCCTCTGTGTCCCTGTGTGTTTGTGAGATGAAGACAGGGAGATGGAGACCATAAGGAGACATGCTAACTGTGCTCTGTTACAGAGCAAATCCACACTAAGTGTTTCACTCTCAGCTCTGTCATTACTCAGGTCATGGTGGGTCAACCACTCTGTGTGAGTGTGTGTGTGTGTGT